AATAGACATGGGAGAAGAGATATCGTCTGAGCTACTGACTTCATCTCCTTGGGGCATGAACAGCGGTGGAAGGTATGTTTCCGTTTGCTGCAGAACACCCATCCTGTTTACCACAATACCACCGGTACCCACAGCGCGGCTGCACTCCCTATTCTCACTAATGTTGGTTATTGTCTGATAACAGCCACCCTCAGAGGTGTATATTGTGCCTCCTCATGCTTTAATTTACATCTCTCTGATGATGATTGGTTTCGAGAATTTTTTCATATACCTATAGCCTATTTATATGGCTTTTGAGAAAATTTGTCCATTATTTTTATATCAGGCTGTTTCCCTGGTTGTACAAAGACTTTTGGATTTGATATAGTACCATTTGTCTATTTTTGTTTTTGCTGCTTGTGCTTTTAGGATTAAATTTTAAAAAGTGATGCCTAAATTAGTGTCAGGGAACTTTCCCTTTCTATTTTCTTTTTTTTTTTCCTCAGAGTTTCAGATCTTATGTTTAGTTCTTTATTCCATTTTGAGCTGATGTTTGCATACAGTGTAAGAGTCTAATTTTGCTCTTTGGAATGTGGATATCTAGTTACCCCCTACTTCCTCAGCACCATATTGAACAAACTGACTTTTTCCCCACTGCTTAATTGACCATAATGAATGGGTTTATATCTGGGCTCTCTAGTTTGCTGCTAGTTATTCAGTGCAGAATTTTTTCATCTGTGTTCATCAAAGATGACTACCCTGTAACTTTTTTCTTGCAGTATCCTTGCTTGACTGTGGTATCAGTCAATGAGACATGGCCACCCTTTTTCAGTTGTTTGGGAGTTTGAAAAGAACTTATTCTTTAAATTTTTGGTAGAATTCATCAGTGAAATTAGAGGTCCTACTTTACTGTTTTCTTTCTCCTAATGAAAGAAAGACTTCTCATCACTGATTCATTCCCTTTATTACTGATATATTAATTTTTTTATTTCTTCATCATTCACCTTGGTGTGGTCTGTGGATACAGGAATTTGTCCAATTCTTCCAAGTCCTCAATTTGTTGGCACATTGTCTCTTCTCTATATTCCGTAAGTATATTTCTAAAGTATATTTCTAATAACTGCTCTTTCCATATTAGTCTAGGCTAAAGGCTCTCCAACTTTATCTTTCCAAAAAATCAACTCTAGTTTGATTTTAATTTTCAACTGAATTTCTTTTGTTTTTCAAGTCCCCACTTCATTTTCACTCTGATTTTATTATTTTCTCCCACTAACGTTCATCTTAGTTCATTTTGGTCACTTACTGTTTTCTTGATTTCACTGAATTATTTCTCAGTATTTTCTTGAAATTGAGAGTTTCCATAAAAAAATTACTTTGATATACAGGAAACTCAAGAAACTAGCCCCTCCCAAATCTAACAAACCAATCATTAAATTGGCAAGGGAGCTAAAGAGAGACTTCTCAGAAGAAGAGATAAAAATGGCAAAGAAACACATGAGAAAGTGTTCATCATCCCTGGCTGTAAAGGAAATGCAAATAAAAATTACACTGAGATACCACCTTACCCCAATCAGAATGGCCCACATCCTAAATTCAGTCAATGACAACTGCTAGAGAGGATGTAGACAAAGAGGAACCCTACTGCACTGCTGGTGGGAATGTACAGTAATACAACCACTTTGGAAAGTAGTCTGAAGGTACTTCAGAAAGCTAAATATAGACCTCCCCTATGACCCAGCCATACCACTCCTAGGCATCTACCCTGAGCAACAGGAACCAGGATACAAAGACACATGCACCTCCATGTTTATTGCAGCACTGTTCAAAATAGCCAAGATATGGAAACAACCCAGATGCACCACTACAGATGAGTGGATCCAAAAATTGTGGTACTTATATACAATGGAATATTATGCTGCCATTAGAAAGGACAAAATAATGGCATTTGTAAAGAAATGGATGGAACTAGAGCAAACTATTTTGAGAGAGGTAAGCCAAAAGCAAAGAGACAAATGGCACATGGTCTCCCTGATATGTGGATTCTAAAGCCAAAATGCAAGGAGGTATGACAAAGTCAACAGGAATTGAGAAACAAAGGACTTTCACTCATTTTGTTGTAGCATTGCTAAATGATTTCATGTTCTTGACCACACACACATATATATACATATATATGCCACATATATATGTATGTATGTATGTATGTATGTATGTATGTGCACATCTGAGACAAGCTAGGAGGACACAGAATCATAGGAAACGGGAAAACACAACAGAGGGGCCCATCAGCTGTACTGGACATAGACAAAAATGAACTAAGCAACTCAAAGGCAGTGCTGGGAGGGAGGGAATGAGAGGGAAAGAGGGACCAGCTTACACTAAGCAAAAGGAAAGAAATGTAAATACCAGCTGATGTGGAAGAAATAGTTGTAGTATCAAAGTTCATAGAATTCACCAACTTTATAGACCATGATAATGACAATTTGCCTTGTGAAGGTTAAAATGTGTTTGTGACTTTAAGTATCACTATTCCACAATACTGGGAAATATGTGAAATTTATGTAATCATCTAATCTCAATAAAAATTATTTTAAAAAATTACTTTGAATTCTTTTTTTTTTTTTCTGGTCCTAGTTGAACTCAGGGCATGGTCTCTGTCCTTCAGCCTCTCTGTGCTCAAGGCTAGTGCTCTACCACTTGAGCCACAGCACTACTTCTGGCTTTTTCTGAGTAGTTTATTGGAGGTAAGAATTTCATGGGCTTTCCTGCCTGGGCTGGTTTCGAACCATGATTCTCAAATCTCAGCCTCCTGAGAAGCTAGGATTACAGGCATGAGCCACTAGCACCTGGCTACTTTGAACTTTGTGGGCAATTTCTTGGGAAATTATTTGAGAGATAATTGTGTTTTTAATTTTTTTTCTACATTTCTTGATGCTTTGAAACCTGTACTTGTGAAGAATCAGGGTCCTATTTCTGTGCAGATAAGACTCCAGGTCTGTCTAGAACCAGGCCAGTCTCTGAAGCTCCAAGCTCCATATAATACTTGAACACTGAGATTCCAAACCTGCTCTAACACGAGGTGTAGGATCACTCAGCCCCAGCTTCCAGGTTTACCCAGTAGACTGTTTCTAGAACAGCCCAATTGCCAAAACACCCCAGTAGGTGTGAAATGGCCCTAGCAATAGACTGGCCTCTACAATAACACTCATTCAACAGATCTTAACATTGGAGCAGCCTCCATGCATCTGTGCTCCAGGACTGCCCCTGCAGACAGGTTTTACTGTACTCTAACCTCTAGTCTGGCACCTGTGTACTCTGCTTCTAGGCCAGACCCCAGGATGCATGCTCCAACCTAGCACCAACAATTCTAGGCTCCATACAAGCCCTGGCAGACACAGGTTCCACAGTGTTGTTCTAGTATTAGGCCGGCTCCAGTCTCAGTAAACTTTAAACAACTGATTCATTTAAAAGAGCTAGATAAGTGTTTAATGAATTAAGAGGTTAAATTCTATCATTTCAGCATACATAAAATAAGAACTAGGACTGGGAAGGTGGCTCAGTGATAGAGTGTTTGCCTTGCATGCATGAGGCCCTGGGTTCAATTCCTCAGCACCACATAAGCAGAAAAAGCTGGAAGTGGCACTGTGGTACAAGTGGTAGAGTGCTAGCCTTGAGCTAAAGAGCTAAGGTCAGCGACCAGGCCGAGTTCAGGCCCACAACCAACAAAAAAAATAAAAAAAATAGGGGCTAGGAAGGTGGCTCGGTGGTAGAGAGCTTGCCTTGCATGCATGAGGCCCTGTGTTTGATTCTTCAGCACCACATAAGCAAAAAAAGCCGGAAGTGGCGCTGTAGCTCAAGGGATAGAATGCTAGCCTTGAGCAGAAGAGCTGAGGGACAGCGCCCAGGCCCAGAGTCCAAGCCCCAGGACTGGCAAAAAAACTAATTAATTAATTAAAAAATAAAAGTAAAAATAAATAAAAATAACTAAAATCTAACATATCCTATGGTTTATAACACAACTGTCATCAAGAGTTTAACTGAAGGAAAAAAACCCTATGATTTGTTACAACTTTATATTTGTAATACAACATCTTTCATTTATTTTCATACAAATCTCATTAGGAAGATGGCACCATTAACCACATTTTAGACATGATGAAAGAAGAACAATGAAGTTATATTCTTGCCCAAGGCAGGAATCAAATCTAGGCTTTCTTTCTTGTTCTGGTACTGAGAATCTTCTATAAAACAATCAAACCTCTACTAAAATATTTACCAGTATGTGAGGTAGTTTATTCTGTGACAGGATTATACTTTAATGATTATACTCTAAATTATACTCTCAAATTATGCAATAATCTTTCGAGATAAAAATTTAAAGTTTAATTTGAATTGTTTAAATTTGCACTGCTTAAAATTTTCAAATATTAAAAAATACCTGCACTTTAAGTCATTGTATTTAACATCTCTACAAAGGTAATAAAAATTTAGTATCTATAACAGTTACAAGGCTTACAAGTTTATTAATACTATAAATATCTAAGAGTAGAGTCAAGAAGCTTAATTGTTCCTGGAAATGGTCTAGCTTACATGCCATTAGATGCGCACAGTAATAGCAAAATTCTGGGTCATGTATACATACTCCTAATGTTTTTACTAGATGAAATCACAAGGGAACAGCAATAATACCAGCAATCCTTTAACTTGACTTGGGTTGTATTTTCCATGAAGCAAAGACCAAACCCAATGAACAAATTAGTATTTAACGTCTCACAGAACACAATTTTCCCCCCAGAGATTGATTTCCAAGCTATAGTCACCTCTCAATCACCTAAATAGTATTTCTACATAAATATACAGTAATTCTATAGCTACACCACACTATATTGTGAAAAGAAACAGAAACCACTCAAATTCTTCTATCCAATAAACAAATACAACTTTCATAACCCAGGATTGAAATGTTCAAACAATTATTTAAATTCAATTTTCTTTTTTATAAAGTAAAAATGAATACTTACAATACATCCTTAAAGTCTCCAAAAACATACATATGCCTAAAGCTGTCGATAGCTATTACGGGGCAATCTGCTGGAGTTTTCTGTATATGCAGAAGAGGATGTCTAAATTTGTCACAATCTGCATGTAAAAAGTTTATTGTACCTTTGGAAGAAGCAGAATTTTGAGAAGTACATTAGAATTTCCTTGACTATATGAAGATTATAAACTCACAAAAATGAAATAATAAATAAAAAACACTAACGTTCTTTAGAGTAATATAGATCAGATAAAACTACAACCTAAACAGTGTAACAGTTAAAAGAGGTAGGATTTTAGTTCTCACGGCAGAATATAATTTCCTCAAAAATTATAGTAACACTCAAATCCAAATGCTATTGTGGATTTAATGGGTAATCATATGCTCTGCACATTACCCACATTCTGGGCAGCAAATTCCTCAAACCAATATATGAGCTGTTTTGGTGAGACCATCTTCATTGCAGCCTCTCACTAAATGACTAACATGGGAAGCTCTATACGATGTTGTTGCCTGATTTTGATTGACTTGCTTCCCTAACAAAAGAGGCGAAGCTGTTAATGCCTCACATTCCAGAGACAAATTCTCAGTAAATCACTAAGAAATAAGCAATAAGCACGAACCTCTGGGAATGTGAGGTATCACACAAGCATTAAGTTGCTAGGAGAAAGTGCCCTAACTCATATAGTACTCATTCATGACCTTACTTTTCATGCTATTTGACTTTTTCTCTCTAAAACAGGCATACAGAAAGTAAGCAAAACAAACAAAAAAAAACCTTCCCACTTCTTTATATACCTATCAACATCTTCTCACCCCAATATTTGAAATGTTTGAAATCTTTGTTAAACTTTTAGCCCAAATACGTTTATGTGGATGTGAATGTGATGGAGGAGAAAGGAAGGGAAAAGCAGAGCAAGGAAGAATGAAAATAAACACCTTAACCTGTCTACCTTTTTCACTTATTAATTGCCGGGCCACTTCATTCTGGAATATGTCTAAACTTTCCGTATCCTCTTTCATGTGGAAGAGTATAAGAAAAGGCAGTCCTTCTTCTGTCAATTCCTGCAGAGAAGAATTCACTAAGAATTTATTGGTCTCTCCATTCAGTTCTAGTTATTTTTCAGATAAGAACAACTGAGTATCCAACCATGTAATGCCCCTGTTGCAAGATCCCAGGAAGAGAATGGTTAATGGCATGTGTATTAGCCTTACACAAGAATGAATCCACTCTCCTCTCCACCCAAAACACTCTAGCACATACCTCTCCATTTTCAAATGTTATTTCTCGGACAAGTGGAACACATTTATCTTGAATCCAATTGTAAGTCAGGTCAAAATTTGTCATAGACCCCAAGTACACCATGTCTGGAGCAGAACGCTATCCAATAAAAACAGAAAATAATTAAGCAAATCTAATTGGTGCTGGCAAAAGCACATCTTAAAATCTTTCTACAAACCCATAAACTCCACAGAACATGTTTTAAAAAACATAAAAAAAGAAACTTATAAGGAAGAAAGCCAAAAACAGTTAAAAAAAAAAAGTTAACTGTGTTTATGAGGAACTTGCTAATTCAGTCTCTGATACATAAGTCTTTCCTTATATTTATAACAATTAACTTATCTTCACCAATAGCAGGTAGGAATGTGAAAAGAGTAATTATCCAAATAAATTAGATTCCTTTTCATTGAAAATGTTACAAGAACATTTGGACAATGAAAAACTTGGAAAATGACATATATAAAATGCTATATAGATCTCAGACATGCGATTTTAATATATTAACTACTTACAAATTTATTTCTGCATTTACTCATATTCAATATTTAGGAAGTAGGCCTGTAGTAGGTACTTTCTACATATTGATTCACTTAGTACTCCCAATGACCCTACATTGCAAGTCCTTTTACTATCATTCTCTATTCTTACTAATGATAAAAACTGAAGCACAAAGAGGCTAAGAAACTTTCCATGGTACACCATCTAAAAGGTGGCGAGTCTGACAGTCAAAGCCAGGCAGTATAAGAACAGAGCCTGTGCTATTAATGACCACTTTACATTGGGAGACACTACTGAATTTTGAAAATCTAGAGATGATGATACTTGTAAACTACCATTAAGGAAATTTACATACAGAAAATGCAGGCAGATACCCATCTCCTGTGATTTCAATATGGATTAAGTGTGTGTCCCCCAGGCGTCATATGCTGGAAGATTGGTCTTGTATAGTGATAGGAAAAGTGGTAAAACTTTTGACAAGTAGAAAGTGATAGAGGGGAATTAAGTCACTGGGAACACTGCCCTTGGATTAATGTAGCTTTTGCAGTACCTCACTTAGTTTTATGACAATGTGTTGTCATAAAAAGAACAAGACTGGCTGTCCCCTCATAGCTGGTTTCTTACCTTGCTATGGGCACCCTTCTGTTCATGGCCTTTTCTCTTTCTGACTCTCCATCATGTTGCAACATAATAAAAAGGGCCACCCTTCATGAAAGGCTAAACAGACAGGCCACCAGACTTGGGACTTTTAGCCTCCAAAAGTGTAAGGTATAAAAGCCTGTTTTTTTTTTTTTTGGGGTCTGGTCATGAGGCCTGAACTCTGGGCCTGGGCGCTGTCCCTCAGCTCTTCAGCTCAAGGCTAGCGCTCTACCACTTGAGCTATAGCACCACTTCCGGCTTTTTTTTCTTATGTGGTGCTGGGGAATCGAACCCAGGGCCTCATGCATGCAAGGCAAGCATTCTACCACTGAGCCATCTTCCCAGCCCCTAAAAGCCTGTTTTCTTTGTGAAGTTTCTAACCTCAGGTATTTTGTTTTCAGCAACAGAAAATGGCCTGAGTTATTATTTGAACAAGAAATGAACTTTTAAGCAAACAATAGTAATGATAATTCATCTTGCATAAAAATTTAGTGTCAAAACAACATTAAAATTAAGACTATGAGTTAAAAAAATAGGCATAGATTTCTATTTTGCGTGGTCAGTTTGTAATGGTGTTTAGGATAACACTATGATTTTTGCCTCTTAGTTGTAGCTACCATCATCTGAACTGAAGCAGCGACTTCTACATTTAGACTCACTTAAAACATCTTAGCTAAGGGTTAACACAACTTAGGTATCCTGTATTATTTAACAAGTATGATGCCAATTTATATCCCAGGAAATATGGAAATTTGGTTGGAACATTACAGGTAAGTGTGACAAACATAGATCACTGATGAATTTTTAAAATTTGGCTCCCAGACTGCATGCAAGAGGTTAGGGGTGGGGGTGAGGGGTGGAGAGAAAGGGACCTGAGATCTTTAATCCCAGTTCTGCCAATAAATAAATGCCTGTGTACTTTAGGCTTCTGTGGTTCTATCTTCACTTTGAAATATTTGGGTTAGCATAAAATGGTGTTTCAAAGTGCCTTCCTATTCTAAAGTTCTGAGATTTCACAAACATTAAAACAGAATTACTCATGCATTTGAGTATCTTATTATATACTAGGGAACAGCAACTTACCCCTGGTGGTTTGTAGATTATATTGTCTCCGCTATATCTTTCTGGTTTTGAAATATCCCTAACAGGAAGGAAAAAACAGTAATAATGGTTTTTTTTTTTTTTTATATATAGAAAAACACTAGAGCAATATATCCAAAAGTCAAAGCAGAGTTAGCCATCAATTTTGAAATGAATGATATAAGGACTGTAATAAATACTACTCTATCATCTTTCCCACTGATGATTATGTAATACAAAGGAAAGTATTATTTAGGTAGGCACTCTATTCTGATGCATTCTAAGAGGTTTGCATTTGAAAGGAAAATTTTAGTCTGCTACTTTTGTGACTAGCATTTTATTAGTTTCAACTGGCAGTGTTAGCATTAAGGCTATTTGACCTCAGACCATTTTCCAACTATGGACAGAGGATATTAGTTTGGTCACACTAACTAATAAAATACAGTCTTTTATAAGACAGACTCAGTCATTAATTTTCTATTACTTACTTCTAAAGACTAATACTTGTAAAACATACTAACTGAAATAACTTCCGCCATGAAAATACAGTTCCGTAACAAACTTTTAAAAATTAGTCTATTGGGGTTTTTTAGTGTCTAGTACAGTATCTAGCCTCAAATATTTGATCTGGCACAGTAAACATTTATCTAGCACAATAAATATTTGGTTAAAGAATCCTATAGCAAATTTTAAGTCCAACGGATAACTTTTTCCTTCTGTTGATAATTTGTAGATTAAATGAACAATTTATCAGTAGTTTCTCACTAGAGTAGTCTAAGAAAAGGAACAAGAGTTGCTAACATAAGCTGATGACAGTGGGACCAGAAAGGAACATGATCCATCTACCCACCTGCTATATGCTTCCTTTATATCAAGAATAGTGTTGGCACTGGATATGAAATAGTGAATCAACTAACAAAACCTTCTCTCTCATGGAGTTTATTTTGGTGAGGAAATATAGACCAAGGACACATGATTTTAAAAGAAGAGGGTCATGAGGAAAAGTAAGTGGTGTAAGAATGAAAACTTGAATAATGGTAATACTGCTTCCATAAGGTTAGAAAGTTCACAATGACTTTCTGATGCAATGACCTCTGGGAAGTATTTACAGGTATCAGAGCACCAAGGGCAAAGGCTCTACAGCAGAAATGGGCCAGCTCTTTTTGAGGAGTAGCAGCAAGGAGGTCGGAGTGGCTGGAGAACAGTGATATGAGAAGCCCAGGGTATGGAGAGTTCCCCATCTACTCTTGATTTTTAAAACCCATTGGTAATGCTCACAGGAACACACACACATACACATGCACAAACATATACATAAGATCTACAAATGCAGTGAAGTGAGGAGAAAAATATCGTAAGATAGAGAGGATAAACTGAGCAAGAAATCTGGGTCTTATTCAAGATAGTTACTGCAATTAAGCTCAGTAGTTATGAGTCAAAAAAACAAAAGAGAAAGACATTTCACGAAGCAAAGGGTAGTTGAGCTAATCTAGGACAGAACCAAGAACAGAATGATTATATTTGGAGGAAAAAAGGCCAAAAAAAAAAAAAAAAAACTTAAAAAGAGAGAACGCTAAGAGAGGTTAGAGGTTAAGGAGCAAAGCAGAGGGATTCGATGTAAAGTGAATGTTAACACATCAGAGAAATGAAAGGGTAGATAAAGGTCACATCCTTCAGAAAAACTGAGGAGGATTAAAACTGGAAAAAAGTCTCTGGATTAGTGGAAGAGGAGTCATTTTGGGGTTGTTTCATCAGAGACAAGTTTCATCAGAGAGAAGTGAAGTCAGCTTCTGGGAGATTAAGGGTTGTTACCAGTAAGAGTTTAAGAAAATCAAGGTAACAAAGCTTAAACTAATATTTGAGAAATACGGGAATGAAAAGATAAAGATGGGATTAAAGCTCAAAAGATCAGGTCTGAAAGAGAAATATTTTTTTTGTAAGAAGTTTATGAAAAGGATGAAGGTGAAAACATGACCAAGTAGAGACAACTGATGGATTAAAGCCCCAGAGGGACAGTAAGGACCACAGTACTGAAGACGGTAGTCTCAGAAAGGAGAACTGTTAGGTTGGGGGCATATTTCAGGGGTAGAGCACATGCTTAGCATATGTGAGGCTCTGCCTTGCATCTTTAGCACAGTAATAAAAAAAAAGGAAGAATTATTATTGTGAGACCTGGAAGACACTAGTAAAGGTGTGAAGAGATGGAGATGAAGGACAACAACAAAGCCCAAGCTTTCTAACTAGAAAGATGGCATGTGCTTTCTATCAGAGAGTCTGGTAACGCCTCACAGATGGGCATTTTGTCTGGCATGGGCTGAAGGTCAGTAAATGAGTTGAACAAAAAGCATGAAAGAACTCAATGTTAATTTGTTTATTCTTTTCCTCTTATATTCCAATATATATATACTATATTAAAAAATAAACACAGACAGGTGCTAGTGGTTCATACCTGTAATCCTAACTACTCAGAAGCTGAGATTTGAGGATTGCAGTTCAAAGCCAGTCAGGGCAGGAGAGTCTGTGAGACTCTTATCTCCAATTAACCACCAGAAAACCAGAAATGGCGTTGTGACTCAAAGTGGCAGAGCACTCACCTTGAGCAAAAGAGCTCAGGGATAGTGCCCAGGCCCTGAATTCAAGCCCCACGACTGACAAATAAATAAATAAATAGATAAATAAATAAATAGTAAATTAAAAAATAAACACGAAATTATTTTTTTCCTTTTTTTTTCCCCCAGGGCTGAGGATCGAGCCCAGGGCCTTGCGCACGCCTGGCGGGCGCCCTTCCGCTGGGCTAAACCCCCAGCCCCACACGTAATTATTATTAACCCTTAAAAATAATTCAAAATTAGGTAGGTACAAGGATTGGTTAGTGAATTTAAGAGAAATGGTATTGGGAGTTGGGGACGCGAGGAGGGAAGGGATAGTAGGGGAAAAACAAAGGAGGGGGTAACAATGCTCGATAGGAAATGTACTCATTACCTTACTCAAGTAACTATAATCCCTCTGTACAGGATCTTTACAACAAAAAATATAAAAAAGAGAAATGATATTATCTTTAAAGAGGTCATCTTCAAAAAGTGCCTAACATATCAGCCAAGCTACCCACTGCTCTCCATTAACATACTTACCCAAAAGCAGAGAGGAAGGCACAGTCATCGTGTAAAATACTCGCTACTCTTTCGAAAACTCTATAATTGTCTGAACCCTTTTGCTCAAAATATCCAATGATATTCCTTTTGCTGCGCTGTAAAATAAAATATTTAATTATTTGCAAACATTTATACCTCTACAAGCATGTTATTTCATTTATCCCTGCTCGAGTACACAAACAGCTCCAGCTGTTGTTCAATTATCTCCAACTGAAGTATAATTATAAAGGCATGTTAAGCTTTTAAAACCAAGTCTGAAACTATTAAAGATTAAACTGAATTGAAAAACAGCACTGATTATTATAAAATCTAACTATAAACATTTCCTTCTAGCATTTGATTTTAAAATTTCAAGAAATATAATCAATGATCATCTTTTCTTAAATGACAGTCTAAAATGTTCTAAAACAGTTGTTCAACTAATAATTTACGGCTGCTAGCAGACACCTCTATCAGTCTTTTATGCTTCTAGATAGATATCTTAACACTGACCACTCTCAACCTACATCATTTCCAGGGTTGTGCTTGGGAATGTATATATATATATATATATATATATATATATATATATATATATATATATTACAAAAGCAGATTTCCACATTCTCAAACTCATTGATCACCTTCTCTAACACACAACCCACTGCACATACCCATCTATCTGGCCCTCTGTGTTACCCTCCACAGGTGCAAACATGTTCATCACTTCTTGTGATGTGAGCAATAAAGTCCCTTGTTTCTGACAGAGAATGTAGTGCCTTCTGACAGTATCCATGAAATGATAAATGGGCACCTTATTGTTTGTTAAGTATAGCAAAATGACAGCAAAATCAGTGACTGTGATAAAGCCCAAACTCAATTATTTTTGTTTTTGTTGTACGCTATTTTTTTTTTTACTACTTAATACACAAGGAAAATTGATTAAGAAAGGTATTTGAGGACACTAAAATTTTGATAGCTGATTTCAAGTAATTAAAACAGATAATCTGAAGAATATCACCAAGGAAAATATAGAAACTCTGGTTGTATGCTTGACCTTAACTTCTGTTTATAAATTAGGTTTCTCTTTCCCCTCAATAAATTCAAATCAGTGCAATTTACTGTATACTAAATATTTTATCCAGAAATTCAATAAAATATTGCACTTTGAGAACTTAAGAAATATCTAAGTATGTACATTATAATAAACTATATAGAATATATAATTACACAGAATACCCAGACTCTTTGTTTACATTAGAATGTATTCACCTTAATTAAACAGGTAATGCTCATTTGATCTACTCAAAGTTAACTTACATCAAGATTGGAGATTTCTTCTAAATTCTGAATTTCTTGAATGGGGTTACTTTTCTGTTGCCTGATGTAATCTGCAAGTGCTTTCACTGAACGTTGACCCCTGTATTCTCTCTTCATCATCATCCCATTACGAAACAACTTGAGGGTTGGGTATTTGCTTATCCTGTATCTCTGGGCAATATCAGCTAGAAGAATTTTTTTAAAAAAATTAACTTGACTTCCTGAATCCATGAACCCAACAGTAAAAATCTTACAATTAATTACTTGGTGAGATCTTTTTGTTTATTCCATTCTTTTTCAGAGAAAGAAAAAAATACTGTCATACCTTGAGCTTGATCTGATTATTAGGCCAGGCTTGACTCCCATTGCCTGTGTTTAAATCCCAAACTTACCACTTTCTGTGTAAACTTCTAATTCACATAGACTAGTTATGCCCTAGTTCTTCATCTAATATAATAAGGATAATAATTTCTATTATATAAGTTTATTTTATAGATTAAATGATAATACAAATGCATGGTATAGTAAGTGTGAAATATCTGACTACAAAAAGCCACAATAATTATGCCCTGTGAGGTATGAAATACATTAAAATAGATGACAGTGACACATTAGCATATAAGCTAGAGAAGAGGAGATATGCAGGAGGTAAATTATATTAAATACTCTAAGGCCTCTGCACTGCCCAGGAAGAGCAATAATATTTTGACAAGTAAGATTGTATTATTTTCTTTCCAAGACAAGCAGTAAAAGAATATTAGAGGAAAAGTAGAGGTTAAGTAAGGATAGAACATGGGGTTAGCAGAAAAGGGGTGGTGAAAAGCCTATGAAATTGAGATCATATAATACTCTGGTAAATTTCAGGGGGCTTCACAAAAAAAATGATTCATTAATAAGATTATTTACACAGAAGATTTGAGTAAACAAAGGGAATGCCTTCAGTCTCATATGTGAGACTGAAGAATGCTTTATCCACAAAAATCAGAGAAATCTGAATTATCCATTTATCTTAATACATATTAAACTTAGACAATAATTAGTCTGATTTGAGCTGACATATCCTTAAACCAGATGATAGCAACTCAGCTGTAAGCCCTTTTCAGCTAATAAGTTATACTGAGAGAGTATGCCTTTGAAATCCTACTACTATCTGAACAAAGAAGTAATGAAATTAAATTGGTATTCCAAACTGAGGGGTAGTTTAGAGTCTTTTAAGTTACACAGGGACATTTGTAATAAGGCAGAGACTACAATTCTTGGACTTACTCTCTATATAAAAAACTGGAAGAAAAAAGGAAGGAAGGACTTAACTTTCCCAATTGAAAAAATACATTTATTACCCAGTATATGCTGAAATATAGTGTATTACAAAATAAAGTTTTCCAGTGCTACATGAATGATGGAAATTTTAACTAAAATGTTGTTAAAATGGGTTAAAGAATGCAGCAATGTTATGGCATGGAAAATGGGAAATACCTCTTATAAGTTGCTAATCCCCCAAATGCCCATCAAAAAGAAATTGTCTGAATAAAGTGTTGTATACTCACACATGGAAGCATTACGTTGTTACTGTTACATAAAGAAAAACTTTCTATATGTTGCTAAAGTGCAATGTTTTAAGATATACTGTCAAGTGAAAAGAGCCAGATGGAGAAAATGAAATTGTGTAGAGGATAGAATCTTTATATAAGAAACAGGGAGAAGAAGTCAGAGAAGAACATAAATACAGATGTACATACACATACATAAATATACTTGGAGTATATGCTTGTTTGTACATATATACTTCCTTGCACCTCCACCTCCACAAAATACTAGTCGTGGGAAATGGTAGAAGAAATTTAGATGTCTTTACTGCATGTTTGACCACAGAGCTACTGAAATGTTTAACCTTAAGACAAACGTGAATTAAAAATTTAGAAGCTGCATTGCTGTTTTGAAATTTAACATTTATATTATATTACAAAACACATAAATAATTATGCTAGTTATTAAAAATGAACACTTTCAGATTAAGAGAAAAAATTCAAAATTGAGAAAATGTTTCATGACACTGGACTAGAAAAGGGTATTTCTGGATAAGAATTCAAATGCTAATTGGCAGAATACTGTTTAGCATGAAAAAGACACTGGGTTCAATCCTCAGCAGTGACAAACAAATACATAAACAAGAAGAAAAGACTTCAAAAGACAAAGCCTGAGTTCATGCTCTATTACCAGCACAAAGAACTAAAAACAAAAACAAAAAAAACATGCAAAATAAAAAATGGGCAAAAGCTCTGAGTAGATATTTCTCAAAAGAAGACATACAAATAGTCAAAGGGTATATGAAAATATATTCAACATCAGTGATCATCAGGAAAATGCAAATCATTACCATGAGAAGCTAGGGATATTGCTCAATGGGTCAGTGCTTGCCTTGCATATATAGAGATTTTCTTAAAAACTACAATGAAATATCAATCACTTCAGTCATGTTAGGAATATCATCAGAAAGATTTTTAAAACAAGTGCTGGTAAGGATATAAAGAAAAGGGAGCCTTGCATACTTTCAGTGGGAATTTAACTTAATGATAATAAAGGGATGACACTGATCAAGATGCATTGTATTTACAAACTGACATGTTGAATTAAAATATAATATAAATATACTAAATATAATAAAATAAATATAATATAAATATAATAAAGATATTAAATATAATAAAATAAATATAATATAAATACAATAAAAATAAATTTAAAAATATTAATAGAAGTGCTGGGTGCTGGTGGCTCACACTACTCAGGAGGCTGAGGACTGCAGTGCAAAGCCAGCCCAGGCAGGAAAGTCCGTGAGACTCCTATCTCCAATAAACACAAGAAAGCCAGAAGTGGCGCTGTGGCTCAAGTGGTAGAGTGTTAGCCTTGAGCTGAAGATCTGAGGGACAGCGCCCAGGCCCAGAGTTCAAGCCCCATGACCAACCAAAAACAAAACAAAACAAAAAACATTAATAGAAGAGACTTTTTTTTTTTTTTTTTTTTTGCCAGTCATGGGGCCTGAACTCTGGGCCTGGGCGCTGTCCCTCAGCTCTTCAGCTCAAGGCTGGCACTCTACCACTGGAGGCACAGCACCACTTCTGGCTTTTTCTGTTTACGTGGTGCTGAGGAATCAAACCCAGGGCCTCATGCTTGCATGGCATGCACTCTACCGCTGAGCTACCTTCCCAGCCTAGAAGAGACTTTAAGTCATTATAAAAAACAGTATTAAAGTTCTTCAAAGAATTCAAAATAAATATATTGATATATGTATATGTTGATGCATATTGATATATATCCAAGGACATAAAATCTGTATGCAGAAAGAAGTCATGTTTATGGCAACACTATGCATAATAGTCAAAATGTAGAATCAACAAATGTATGAAAAATATGTAGTATATACACACAATGGAACATTATTCAACTATACAAAAGAATGAAATCCTGCTATTTGTCACAACACAAATACACTTGAGGATATTATATTACATGAAATATACCAGACACAGAAAGACAAATATTGTATGACCTTATTCATAGCAAAATTCTCTTAACAAATTGATCTCATAGAAATTACAATGGTGACTACCACAGGCCAGTAGCTAGGTAGGAGGAGGAAATAAGATGCAGATTAATACAGTTAGATAGTGGGAATAAAGTTTGAGAAATTTTCATACAGCAAGGTAGCTATAGTTAATTATGATAATAGCTATAGTTAGTTGTGATAATGATGAACAATGTAGGGTATATAATAAAAACATATATTATTTGTTTTTTTTTTTGGGTCCAGTCGTGGGCCTGAACTCTGGGCCTGAGTGCTCTCCCTCAGCTCTTCAGCTCAAGGCTAACGCTCTACCACTTGAGCCACAGTGCCACTTCCGGCTTTTTTCTTTATGTGGTACTGAGGAATCGAACTCAGAGCCTCAGGCATGCAAGGCAAGCGCTCTGCCACTGAGCCATCTTCCCAGCCCCTTATTTGTTAATTTTTAAAGAGTGTCTAAGTAAAAAAAAAAAAAAAATCCTACAATATTTAATTTGAATTAGAAGTAGTAACATCTTTTCTATGGTACTGATTAAATGAACACGGATCCTTCTGTATGCTAGGTAAGCATTCTACCATCAACCTACATCCCCAACTTAGTATGAACTTTTAATGTGTTCCCTCTTTCAAGAGTGTGCTTTTAAAATCTTTACCATGATACCTCTTGCTAATCACTTAATGACAATAAGAATGGATATTTAAACGAAAATTGAAACATTTATATGAAAATATACTTATCAAAACTGCCCCTAGAAGAAATAGAAAACAGCCTTGAAACTAAATTGGTTTTCCCTATTAGGAAAACACCATTTCTAGATACCTTCACTAGAAGATTTTACCAAGTCTATAAAAGGCCAATAAAGTCAAGTTTCCTCAAACTATTCCATGGAATACAAAAACGAGCTAACCCTTTACAACTAGCTTTATGGTCAACATAGTATTTTTGAGAAATCTGAAAGGAAATTATGAGAAAAAGTATATGTTAATCTTATAAATGTAAATGCAAAACTACAAAGTATTAACAAAATTAATTTAACACTATAAATCAAGATTAATACATCATAAGCCAGATTTTGTTTAGCACTCCAGTTTAGCTTTATTTGAAAGCCAATTAATACACTGAACATTAGAAAAGAAATTTTCTACAACCTCAAAATTAACAGAAAAACATCTGTAAACATTTAACATCCATTCTTGCTTAAATACTCTTAGCAGACCAAGAGTAACGGAAGAGAACTTGTTTAAGCTAATATTGAATATTTAGTTTTAAACAACTTGATAGTTAAACATGCAAAGCTTTGTTGCTGATCTCAAGAAAGAAATAAAGATGTCCATGATACCTCTCTACTTCTATATAACAATGTACTGAAGTTCTTAAGTGTAAAAAGGAATGAAAAAAGAAGTATATACATGAACAAAAAAATAAGAGTGGCATTACTTACAAACAATATTATTGGGGTCACTAAAAGCCAAAAAGGGCATCTATAGAAGAATTTCCACTTCCAAGTAGGATGTCATAGGTTTCGAATCTATTGCTATTGTTGCAACAATTACGACAAAGCAGATTACAAAAAAAATTACATTTTGGGCACCAGTGGCTCATTCCTGTAATCCCAGCTACTC